ACAATCAAAAGTGGTGCTCTGCCAACCAGGCCATGACCCACCATGTCAACTTACTGCAACTTACTAGACTCAGTCCAATACAGGTACCTTAAGACCTACCATTAGCAATCAGCAGTAAAGGCATCTTACTCAGAGAGGTCACCAACTTCCTTATACGTCTACCGTGGCCTGAAGGGAGAGATGGAGGCTGGACCATGAAGATGTAACTCCTCTCCCCAAGCTGCTAAAATAGTCATGATGTCACCACCATATTACTTACTCATTATTTGGTAATTACCCCACAAACCTAGCCCCTTGGTTCCCCATTTCCCCCTACCGTATATTCATGTGGAAGCTGTTCAGAGTTTGATGCAACATCCTGTGCAAACTTGGTAGAACTAGAGATCCCAGAATTACCAGTCAGCACAGCCAAATGTTAAGACCGGCTGAAGGCACAACCGTTAAGCTTTCTGATCAGTGCAGATTTGAAGCGGACAAGGATGCTTCAGATCTGGGCACCTTCACTGTACCTGTCAGCAGCTCCTTAAAGAAGTTATACCTTTTCCTGGACTTGCACAGTAGCTATGAGGGTTCTGGAAAATGAGTGATCGAGTCAAATGTTCATATTCACCTGCTTCGAATCCAAAACCAGTACATCTCTACTTTGGGGACACCACCTTCTCAGTTAAAAATGTTCTACATGAACTCTACCAGGGATGCACAGCTTTTTCTGGACCAATGACCACACTTGAACCTTGAAGGGCATCCTTCAGAACATTAAGAGGTGGGGCAAGCACAAGAAACTACATTTCAATTTGTGTGCATTTCCACCTCTTAAAATTTACTATGACTGCTAATTATCCTTAACTAATTAATTATATTTTAGAAAGCTATAACCTCCATGACAATTTGAAATCCTTGGTTAATTTATCTGTATCATGTTCTTTATTTTCCACGTTACTTATTTATATATTTTCATCAAAATGTTCAAAAAAAAAGTTAACACAATCGCTCTAGTATAGTCAAGAATTTTCCTTTGCCCGGCTGAAAAATCTCAATTAGGTAGGAACAGTGAGAGCCTCCAGGAGTCATACCCAAGGTCTTAGAACCTATACGTGGCCTCTGATTTAGGGAGAGGGAAGAGTAATCAGTAGGAGCCCGTTAAGGTCCACAGAGATGGGTCAGATGGTAATCTGTGTGTTCAGGCCGCAAGATCAGCAGAACAGAATCCACAAGGGGGTGAGGAGACCCTTCTCTCTTTCCAGCACTCCTCTATTTCTCTCACTCCTCTCTTTCTGGCACCATCTTCTCTCTTGCACTGCCTAGGTAGGAAGAAGGGACTATCATCCCCAAGTGGAAGTTGGAAGTTTTTTTAAAATTGTACACCTCAAATCCAAACTCATTCTAAGACAACATTGTTGTTGTTTAGTCGTTAAGTCGTGTCCGACTCTTCGTGACCCCATGAACCAT